TTGGGTATATGGCTGAGCAGCTTCTCTGATGAGGACTTGTATCTAGTTTAAACAGGATACTTTAGCTTTTTAGTATCTTGATGTTAAAATAAATAAATAAATAAATAAATAAATAACCATGGAAATCTAATCTTACAGTATGTAAGCATGGAAAAAAACGGACTGAGACAAATAGGATTCAAAAAACAAACCTTTGCATCTACATTTCTAACATTTGGGTATATGGCTGAGCAGCTTCTCTGATGAGGACCACCCCACCCCACCCCCACCCCGTCACACAAATCCTGGTCTCTCTCATCAGAGAATAAATCCAGCAGTGACATCTGCATGACATCCAATCAACAACGACACGCAGCAAGCTAACAGACGAAAGTGACCTCACAGTCTGGGATTTGCCTCATTCATGGATTTGTCTTGAATTTGCACATAATGGAACAAATACACATCAGAGCTTCGTGTATTTTTATAGTGTGTGTCGGTTTGATCAAGGATTATATACATTATTAATTATTATTGTTATTATTATTGCAAGAAAACTCTGAATCAGTAAACTTCCCCCTTTTTTGCTTGCAGTTTACAGCAAAAAACAAAGACTGTATTTTCTCAGGTTCCTGAGGTTTCCTAATGGATTATATTTTCTTCATCTCTGAGGCCAAATGAGGACCATGCTATTGAGATTAAGACTATAATCCGACTGCAGCGCTGTGAACTCATGGGAGTTTCTATTGATTTAGTCATGAACATATGAGAGAATCCCCTTATAGTTAAAATCTTTGTTTTGTTTTACAAAACTTTCAATGCAATTTTTATTAGCATCATTGGATTATCCCTGACTAAATGACACATCAAGGATTTTTTTGAAAAAAAAAAGTGCTGATGCTTCCTCTTTTACTTGCTCTAGATATAAGATGTCATTGAATTTGATATATATTTTTAATTTATGTAACCATATTAAACTTTAATTACATTTCATTGTAGGTTTTTCATGAATGTGAGGAATGTGGAGTTAATAAGTGAAACCCTTTTTTCTCATCAACATCCTGTAAATTGTTAACATTTTTGATCCAGCATCCATCAGTTTAAAACACTGTGGAAAGGAAAGACTGAAGTAAAGTTTGAATCCTAAGAAGCTTCTTTTATTAACTTATAAAAGCACACTTTCAAAATTGCTAACAGTGATTTTTAAGTTGCTAAGAAGTCTGTAAATCTGAATAAACTTTGTATTATAGTTTAATTAACCAAGAAAACACTTGATAAGTAATTAGTATTTGTGTTTAGAACAGTTTAAACATCTACTGTGTTTGTGTTCTGGGATACATTGCTCATTTTGAATATATAAACATAAAATTAACAAATATCTTGGAACAGTCGGTGTGTTACATGAGGCCTGAAATGAGTCTTTAATTGAAATTGCTTCTCAAAAATAAAAGGGAAAATGTGCATATAATGCAGCTGTTTAACTTGTGCTGCTATATGTGTTGGAAAGAAAAACTATAAAGATGCGAGAATACAGAAAACTTAACAAAACCTTGTCACATGTTGCAGAAATGCTACAAAATCACTATCAAACATTTTATTTTTAGCAAAAATCACTGTTTGAATGCAATAAACCCAAGGTCTACTAACAAATATAACAGAATTTTCCCAGAACTTTTACCATTAGCAGAATAATACAAATTAAATCTTAGTCATTTTTGTAGAAAATAGTTGTAATAATGATGTTAATAATCAAATTGTTTGTGGTATATTCAGTGTGATATATATTACGGAGCCCGCGAGGGGACTCGGGGGGATTTTTTTTCCTTTTGCGTTCACACGCAATACTTTTGCGTTCCCACGCAATATTGTTTTGCGTTCCCACCCAAAAGATGTTTTGTATGAACTGAATTAAATCAGACTTTTATTTTGAAATAGCCAGTTACCAAAACAGGATGTGTCGCCACAAGTTCGTGAAATTGACGTTGATGTTGCGTGCCTGTACTGTGTTAAAATATCGGCATATGATATACTTCCATGCTTGGCTGTGTGATATATTCATTCTGAAGCTGAATTAAAGCAGTAGGCTAACTTGCTAATGGTGAACATGTCAGTTTGTTAATAAATATCAGGCACAACAGAGATAAACGACTTTTGCGAGGGAACACAAAAGGTATTGCGAGGTAATGCAATACTATTGCGTGGGAACGCAAAAGAAAAAAAATCTCCCATGTCCCCTCGCGGGCTCCGTAATATATGTATGCATTTTGTGGCAAATAAAGACACTCGGTAATTAACTTTTTTTTTTTGTAATTTTATGATCTCCATATTATCACACAGATTAGTTGTTTGTATTTTTTTTTTTGCAAACTTAAAGCAGCTTTTATTGTTTCCAGCAGGCTCTAAAGATACATGGTTACAAATTTGCAAACTCTTTTGAATCTTTTAAAAGGTTGTTTACAAGTTCCCCTGATTAAATCATGTTAATGTTTTATATAATATTTGAAAGAAGGTGGAATGTGCTCCTCTGCTGATGGTACATCAAAATGTTTTGCTTTGTGTAAAACATGAAGCAATAAAAACAAACACTTAAGATTAATGAGCATATTAATAACACTTTTTAATAAATGTTTTAAAATTTTAATGTTTCTCTCCCCAACAAATCCATAAAATGCCAAAATACGTTATTATTATTTTTACATTCAAAGTTATAAAAAAAGTTTTAGATGTACCAAAAGAACTGTTAAAGTGACATGAAATAGATTTATTGTTGCAGTTACCTCTGAAAATGAAAAATCAATGCAAAGGAAATAAAAAAGCAAAAAATCTTATCAATGTTTGTAAAAGGGGACGTATCATGCAAAAAACACTTTTAACCATTATATGGATTTTGTTGCGTACTTTCCTTTAAGGCTTGAACTGCCTCAAAGGAACAGTATGAAAACAAGTTGCTTTGAGGCACACATCAGAAACGGGGTGAAAGAGGGGCTGGTAAAGTTAGAATAAGGAGGAATGCAGACCAAAGCATGTCAGTTCCACTTTATAAAATCCCCAACTGAACGATTTAAATGTGGAAAAATAAGGATTTAAAAGCATGACATGTCCACTTTAAGTTAGAAAGAATTTATTGACATCATGAATCCTTCAAAGTTTTTGTGTGTTTTGTATGGAAAATATCTACAGAGGTCTCATGGCACGGCCTCAGGTCATAGTCACAATACCCGACAGAGAATCTGCCCTGTGGGACACAATGACAACCAGAACTTAACAAGCTGAAAGAAGCAGAACTGACGGAATGAATATTTGTCTGTATGAGGATGCAGTCTCACCTTGGGCTTCTTGAAGTAATCCAACCCTCTTCCAATTTTTATAATCCAGCCATTGTCAAACCTAGAAAAGAAGTCTTTGTAAGTATTTTTAACAAATCAAAACTAACGATATGTACATGATAAAATACCTGATCTCTCTGTCATGTATGGTGGAGGAGTACTGCAGATCCAGAGTCACTCCCTGAGCACTCAGGCTGTCCTTCAGCTCAGACAGAGCGCTGCTCTGCTGGCTGCTGTCAGCCTGACGAACACAAGTGTCAGTGAAACAGCACAAAGCCAGCAAAAGAGTCAGCTGTGGATCAATGAGACAATACGAACTCATTGTTTGGGCAACCTACTTCATCCTGTGACGTGAGGAGATGGATGAGTTTCACCTTGCAGCACGATTTCAGCAGCATCTCACAAAAACGCAGGAAGTTGTACAGCTGGTGGAAAGAAGACAACAGACAGACTAAAGGTGAACTTAAGTTACATTTTCTGTTAAAGCTTTAAATTACAATGATCTATTATTAACTTTAACTCGAGTCAAAGGTGCAAGAACTCCTAGGGAATGTAAAATAAATAAATAAACCATTCTTTCTTGCACAAAACCCATGTTTTTAGTTTACATCAAACTTTACTACAGTGTTAAATCTGAAAATGATGAAGTACAAAAAAGTGAAAAAAAAAATTACAGGTTTGACTTTTACAACAAATAGGCAAAAACAAACAAAAATGTAAGCTTTACCAGCCCTTGAAGAAATGCAAATGACTCCAAATCTAATAAGTTGTAGATGTCCATTCATTGTTTAAAGACTTATTAAGTACCAAATTTATAAAAAAAATAAATAAATCACTTTTACAACACTGATCTATTAATCAATAAACTATTTATCAGAAGTTTTCTAATTATGTTGAAAGGTGGGTCAGGTGGGAAAATATTTTAGCTGAATAAAATTGCTGTTAAGACAAATTTTTGACACAAAGTCAAACTGTCATAACTGAATGCTTTTAAATTTTTATGATTTAGCAATGCATCTTCTTATAAATGCCTGAGTGGAACAAAAAAACATTATTTAAGGTTTTAAAATTATAATACTCAAATGAAATGTTTAATTTTATACTGATTGAAACAAATCATAAACTATTTTAATGCGAACAAAGCTTAATATAAAGAAATCCGATGCAAATTGAAACAGAGGAAAGAAATGCAATGAAACAGTGAGGGAAAACAGAGCTCTTACTTGATGTGTGTGACGTATGTACGGGTCCTCAACCCAGACCTCTGTGAGAGCGTTGCTGATGTAAGGCTTAAACAAAGCCTCATAACTGTAACCAGTGGCATCGTCTGATATTTTTATCTGCTCATGGTATTTCCCATCTGTCAGAACATGAGGGCAGAATGAAACTAAAAACAACCAGAGCACTCGATCTCTGGTAGGGAACTCTAGAGCCAAAAGTCAGGGGTTAAGGTTAGCTTTGGATGTCAGGGTTAGGAGTCAGAGGTTAATATTGAGTGGTGAGGAGGATTTGTCAAACATCTGCCTACCTTCAAGCTATAGAAAGTAATATTAATTCTCTAGTTAGATTAGGTCATCTGTGATGGTGCGGCTGCCAAGATTGGTACAAACAGATCTATAGCAGATGGTTTCTACTGGTACCCACAAAAGAAGGGTGCATAGTAACAATAGTTAAAATTTGAATTAACCTGAAGCTGAGTGTTTGTAGTCTGTTAGTCAGATGATCACCTTAGTAAATATTAACTTGTTTGAGCATGTGCACAAACACAACCCCTTAACCCAAGGCTGGTTGACTCTGTCATTTTAATATTTCATATTGAAGCTTCTACGTGTGAATTAAAGTACCTTCTTTCATCTGGTTCACGTGAGCTTTGATTTGCTCTGCTCTGTCCATGTAACCCTTGATCTTGTCCCTGTAGTGTCCTCTTTTTGACTCATCTTTTAAAGCTGTTTATAAGACAAATAAATAAAAAAAGTTGTACTTAAGGACTTTCAGTTTGCATTATTGGAACTAAATAATCATATGATACCTTTGAGGACGTCTATGAGTAGCTGAATGCCCTCCTGATAGCAGACCAGAGACTCCTGAAGCCGCCCGCTCTGGTCCAACTCCACCGCTCGCTTCAGCACAGACACAGCGGACGCCTCCATCCCCGACACATGGTTTTCTGACATTTTTTTTACTCTATTAATGGTATCCTTATTACAATTTATGATACCAATGTCGTTTCATGCTTCACGGGCGTCAGAAAAGGCATGAAAAGAAAGTTGGTTTCCCCTTTATTGACAGTTGCGCCAGTGTATCAACAAAATATTTCCCGGAGAAACAGAAAAAGAAAAAAAGAAAACTCTGATCAATCCATGCGTGGTAGATATGTATTGGTTTACAAAAATAAAATGTTGTGTAGCTATATATGTTCAAATATTTTTACTGTTGTACCTAAACATTTTAAATCCATGAAAAAGTTTAAAAATTGTGGTAAAGCATGGCAATATTTGCACATCGGATCGATTTAGATGTTACTCCTTCCCGCGTGTCCGGAACCAACAGGAAAGAAAACTAAGGACAAACGTGATTACACTTTTCGGCTTCTGTTCGTTTTTTCTAAAATAAATGCCTTAGTCGAGTTTTGTACGAAAGTCTTGTAAGAAATTTCACATTTTAAAACTAGAGTTTAGTTAAGCTTGGTTCACGCTTTCGTTTGTCGGTTTGGTGGTCTGTAACCTTGACGTAGTTTTTCTATTGAAGCAGGTTCTGCTGATAAAGTTGTGGCCCTGAGAGGTTCAGCATGTCTGCTTTTAGCCGCAGCTTGAGCCTTCTGACTGTAAAGGTAAGTATCTCTCTCTCTCTTTGTGTGTGTGTGTGTGTGTGTGTGTCAGGAAGTGTACTAAAGGCAGTGACACTTTTGGTGCCATGATTGGGTTAAAGTTATTTTTCTGCATAATGTTTATTATATGATATTGCATAAGATTTTGTCTTCTCTCTGTTGCCTTTCATCAGTGTGCATTGCCAATGCAATGCACACTATTGTGATTCGTTTCCCATCCAAGTCATCTCAACTTTGCCATGCTTCTCCTCCTGCATACTTTGTCCTAGAGCTGCCATTGTAATTTATATCTGTAAAGCCCCTGTGCCAAATGATGGCTATGCCTTTTGGTGCCTGTAAAACTTAAGTTTTTGAAATATTAATGTTTAATAAATTATAATGCAGTCAATAGAGCCTTGTATTGGTCCAATACTGCCCCTACACAATATGATAACTGCACCATAGTTTCATAATATTTAAACTCAGTTCAGTGATTACAATATTAATATGATTGTATTTTGATGTTTTACTGTAATACTGTCTTTATGTTGTCCTATTGCTGTAATATACTGCACTTAAGTGTCAATAATTGCATTGGCAAGGTAAACCTTTTCTGTATACATACAATCCAATCCCTGGGATTGTCCTCTGCCACATCTCCTGTAGTCTCATGATGAACACTGTGGGCTTTCATGTTTGAGATCAGGGTTCAAATCCAGCTACTGCAACTTTAACAAAAATCTCTTCAAACTTCATATTGTCACACAATTAACTTAACTACAAACACCTGCTGACGTGACAGGCACAAGCTGGTTTAGAAAACATTTGATCCTGGTCAAAGCTCATTCTGCAAGTCCAATGCTGCAGGCAAAGCCATGCTGCAATGACGTGCTACATGGCAATGCACACTTGTTTTTACATCGTAAAAACCCATGTCTAGTTTTATTTGATTTGTATATATTTTTTCTATTATATGTAGTTGTTTTGTTTGTTAAATGAATACATTTTATATAATAACAACAACAATAATAACCTAATGCAGGTAACTAGATTATTTTCCAACCTGTTCTTTCCAGTGTTTCCACATCTAAGAAATAGTAGCCATCAATGAAAGAGGTAACAGACTTCACATGGTGTCAGGTTAAAGTCTGATAATCTGCAATACACAAAGATGCTGAAAAGATGGGTACAAATATACAGGTTTAAATCAAATGGTGAAGAAAGTAGTATTTAGGTGATGCTACATATTAGAAAACAAACATGGTAATACTACATTTATTTTACATTTGTTTCAGAACCTAAAAGCAACCACAGTTTTGTCACCTTGTGGGTGGTTTGTGTTGGCATGCAGCAAACATCATAAACCTAGAATCCCAAAAGAGGTAAGCATCAATGTTTCCTTTTTGTCTTTGTCACATGTTATTTAAAAATGTAACATTTCTAATTAATAATAATTATCTAATTATAAACAAATTTGAAACACGTGTTCAGCACCACATGGCTGTTTATAAAAATACAAAACTCATCCCAAGCCTCCTAACACTTTAATCAGTCAAGGTAGTAAAGATGGGTTTTGTGTTTCTCTTTTGTTGCTTTTCATAATGTCTAGTTCTTTTTTTGACAGATTTTTGAAGAGAGATCAAAAGAACATGAAAAATATGGCGGTGATCCCGACCAACCTCACAAACTGCATATAGTGACCCGAGTCAAAAGTGCGCATAGAAGGCCGTACTGGGAAAAGAGGGTAGTGGAATACTTTGGCCTTAAAAAGGTAAATCTAAAGTCAGCGTTGATTAGGGCTGCCTTAATTTAATGCTATTCATCAGAAATTGTAAAAATATTAGGGGAAAGTGTTTTACTTTAAAATTTACAGTACACCGATGTAGTTCTCAGGGACTGTGGTAGCTCAACGGTCAGTGCTCCAGTCGTTATCCTGAGGTTGCAGGTTTATGTGGTGTCAGGAACGGCATCAGGTGTAAAACAATTGTCAAATCTTTCTGTATGCTTGCTGTGGTGACCCCTGCAGCAGAAAGAAAAACTCACTTTGTTCTGTATTTGTCCTGTTCTTAGATCCACTTGTCAGTAATTCACAAAAACACACCTGCGGTCAATAACCAACTGAAGATGATCAAACACCTTGTGAGGTAAGACTGGTGAACTGAAGGTGCAAGCACATTTTTAATATCTGTAAATCATTAAATCTTGCATAGAAGAGATCTTAAAGGTTTATATTTCTGTAATAACTGAAAATAAAACCATGTCTGGTTATTTAAGACAATTTGTGTATAACGATCTTGACTTCTTAATTTTCCCCACTGACACAGGATACAGCCTCTAAAAACTCCATACGGGCTTCCTGATGAACAGGACATGGCTGATACTTACATCAACAGCAGAGGAGAGCTGATTGTGCATCGCCTGCTTAAGCCTGTTGACAACAAAGCTGATGAGTCTGAATCTTAGTTCCACATTGTCATATTCATCAAAAATCCAGTTAATAAATGTTAAAAAATAAGAATTGTGTCTTGACTCTGCTACATTAAGTAAATGAAAGACAGCACAATTTCAACACTTAAACTTAGAGCTATACAAAAAATCACAGGAGCAGAATTAAAACATTAAATTTATTGTATTAGATTTGTTATTCAAACTTACTACACTGTCATTTAAAACGTATTCTGATACTAAAAATCAGAATTGGATTTTGGCACCCACATGCATCACTGACTCTGTTCCAACATATTTTAAAGGCAAAACAAACGACTGAAGTTGCCTCTGATTTCAAATTAAGCTTAAAGTTTCTTGGGGGAAAAAACAAAAACAGTCTCAGCTTAAAAAAAAAACTTGTTTGGGAGGTAGCCCCATGACAGAAAACCAGTCAGTTGTTTTCAGTCATCTTCAGAATCGGACTCAGAATCGTGACCTCTCCCTCTGATGGTTTTCTTCTCCACTTTTGTGAACTTTGAACCAGATTTCTGTGTCTTTGTAGGAGGCTCCATCAGGTTACCACTAGAAAAAAAAAGTCAAATTGGAATCGTTTATGACAGCACAACTCTTGACGTTAGGTGGAAGAGTGAGTGCATTATTTCTCACCTGTAGTTGATAACATCTGCGCATCCAAGTCTCCATTCAAGCATCTCTGTTGAAAACTCATCAGTGTTGCCCAGATCAGTGAATCCAACTACGTAGTCCTTTGTCTTTCCATCTATAAGCAAAGCCAGCGTTGGGATAACTTTGATGCGAAGCCTTTCTGACAGAAATGGAGCCTTTTCTACATTCAGTTTAATGAATTTGGTCTCCACGTGTTTTTTAGCCAGGATGGCCAGGTGTTTGTCCAGGATTTTACACCTACATGTAGAAAACAAGACAAAATTAACCACTTCATATTAGACTATTAGCAACACGATGATGGTTGTATAACCTTGATAGAATGAATTCACCTGAAGGTTGAATTTCTGTAGAAGTGGCACACAACCTTCTTACTCTCCTTCACTTCACTGAAGAAGTCTTTCTCACTGGGGATTTCTTTGTATTCCCCATGGCCCTTGGACAACCACTCCTTAAAAACAAAGAACCCAAATTGCAAATTACAGAATGACAGAAAATAAAAAGTAATTTCGACAAGTGTGTAAAAACTTACCTGCTTCTGTTTCTGAGCTTTTTTCAGTGCCTCTAATCGCCTCTCCTTCAGTTTCTCCAATTCATCTTCATCAATTTTGTTCAGCTGGCTCAGCTGTGCATCCACCTGCTCTTCTACCACCTTCACACTTTCCTCCAAAACCTTTGAAATCATTTCAACTGCCTGATTGTCCATGGCTGCCCGTGTGTAGCTCTCGGACTCTGAAAGGGGGTAACAAAAGACCGATGAGGTGGAAATTAAGATTTGATGTAGCTTAGAAGCCACATTTATAGTCACGGCTTCTTTTGAAGGGTACTGAATAGCTGGATTAAAGATAATTCAAAACAGCTGTAATATAAATAATTTGCAAAACACATTGGTCTTACTAATTAAATTTGTCACATTTTATCGGACAGTTAAAACTATGAATGTAAAATACATACTATAGTCATTCTCTCACAATTTGTTGTAGTCTACAAAGCAAAAAGTATAATCAATGTTTTGACTAAACTGACTCCTTTGAATGATCTTTAAACACCATCAAAAGAGTAGAGACAAAAGGCAGGGCGCACCTTGCTAGCTGGCTAACAACCGTAGTAGGGAGAGAATTCGCCCGTAGCCGTAGATGTGTTTAAAAATATAAGAGTTCAAAGAAGAGCCAATGCTATGGTCATTAATTGTAAAATTAAGCGCCTGTATATTAAACATCAACAAAATAATGCAATTACCTTAAAAAATGACAGTATAACTTCACTTGGTACGCGAAGACCCAACAGCGGATGTGTGGCGCATGAAAAAAGACGTAAAGCTTCTTCCTTTTGTGTGGTGTTCTATGGCGGTTGGCAAACAACGGAAGGTGTGCATTACCGCCATCTACTGATATGGAGTGTGGATAAAAATACTTTTATTTTATGTTGCATTTATTCTTTTTTCTAATTTTGTTTTTCTAAGAAAAAAACTTAAAATAATCTGTACACTTTTACTTCTTGTTTCTTTTTGTAATATATTTATTATATTAAATGTTTCTTTGATTTTTCTTAATTCCTCTATCATCCATCTTCTGTGGACGTACAAGCTTCCGGTTGTTTTACAAAATAAAAGGTCACAAGTCAAGTTTTTGCCCACTAAAAAAATTAGTTCGCTATGTACTAAAATTTATTATATCCATGTATATTGTTCTAATGTGCATCTAACCTTAAATCATAGGCTTTTAAACCTTTAGATTGGAAATTATCTAAGAAATGTTTGTTTTCACGTGTATTTTTTACAAATTGTGTAATAAATAAAAATGGCCAAGATTATAAAGGAAGATAGGAAATTGATGGAAAGACCTCAAATCAACACCATACCTTTTACTTACATAAGTTATTATTGAAGTAACTACTTGAAGTTTGTAATATAGCTACTTCAATAACTAGTAAACTTATGGTAATGTGTGGTAAACTTACTTGTAGCAGTGTGGTTTTGACTTAATGTTAAGGAATAACAGTTTACTTTTAAGCCAATTCAAATAAGACATTAAGTGTTTTCACAGGTACATAAATTCACCACTTTGATTTATTAAAAAATTATTACAATAGAATTGCTATCCACACTGAAAATGTGTGATTAGTATTAAGGGAATGAAACTAGAGAGGGGACTAAAATTAATTGTGTTAAAAGTGAAAATGCCCAGATACAAATCAATGTTTTCTCTAAAATAAAAAAACACAAAAAGTATTATTTGAATACAGAAAAAACTAAGAATATTTTAGTACAGTATATCTCCTCCATCTAGGCTTCAGCTTTGAAAAACTCAAGTACACAACAACATAGGTCAGAACCTTTTTAAGTTTATTACCAAGATTTAGAAAACTTACAAACAATTTCACAGCTTCAGGTCTTCAGGCACGAGCCAATTCGAAGAGTTAAACTTTGGCCCTTTACTTTTGGCCACTTCTTTGAGGAAAAGCATGACGAGTGAAGAGAAGTAACATCTTACAAAGTGAGTGAAAAGTTGCACATTCCAAATTACATTCAGACTGATCCGGCTTGCATATAGGATTACTGCTTTAACAAACTTTTCAACCACTGTCATTATCTTCCATAAAGATCAAAAGTCAACCGGCTGTGTCTTCTTAAGACCAATTACATAAAAGTTAAACTCGGAGTATATACATAATGCAGTTACAAACCATGCAAATATTTGCAGAGTGCGAGTTATACAAGATGGGTCACCGAGTCACAAAAGATCAATTGTTTCTATGCAAATCCAGCATTATTTTAAAGAATCCTGTGAAAACTTGATGCAACACTTGAGCAACTCCTGATACAAATGCTCAATGAATGTTACATTACCTTGAGTAGACATCTTTCTTGTTAGTGAGTGAAAAATTATGCATAGGCTCATTGATTGCCACGATTTATGTCCACGTCCAATTTAGAGTGCTACATAGAATCAACCGCTAACCTCTTTGTAATGTACTTTGGTTAGCTTCTGATTTCCATGTGGGAACACTTAAAACCATTTAGAGTTAGAAGAATTACAATTTCAAGACCATTACTAAGATTTTACTATTGGTAAACAATACAAGAGGCAATTCCTCCACATACAGTTCTTTTAAAATGTTTGGCAAAGATCTTTCAAAACATTATTTACACTTTACAGCAACAAAGTTTGGCACTTTTTTTGTTGTTTTTTTGAAAGAGAAGAGGATACAACTGTGCGCAGCAGCTGCAGGTAATTCACAGATTAAGTGCTGAAGACGAGCACCAATAAAAACAAACTGAAAAAAAAAAATTCATCTGACAACTTCTGAGGTCAAATAATGCATAAAACATGCTACCAGGCTACCCGATGAATAAACTTTTTTCGATTATGACCAATTATATATGAAAAGGGTGAGTCAGCTGAATTGTCAAGTTTGAAAACACAACAAAAGCTGTAAATATTACAAAGCCTGGCTACATTACATGTATAAAAAGCAGGTAAGAAAGTATTGACTGCAAACATTAAACAGAATTAAACAAATGTGTGATAAAAATATGCTGAGTTTTGCTAATTTGGGTTGTGAGTAAACATTGAAAACCTTTATTGCTCTTCAGTATGAATTACTTGTACATAAAAAAGTACAAAAATTGATACGCGTGCTTTTTGTTATGGCTCTTTTTCTGACTGTCTGCATTTATACAACGAGGATTTGAACCACAGTGAACCACAGTGATGTGTTGCAGTGAAAAATGTAATGGAAAAAAAATTATGTACTTGTCATGATTTGTTCCGTCAATGACGTAAAAACTGGGACGCTCTCCCTTTCTATTTATGCTATCTTCAGGATGCTACCGTAAACCTGCTGAACAACCAACTGCACGTTGTCCAAGATGAAGTCAAACGCCATGCTCCAAACAGATTCCACCGACTGCTGCATGATCCTGCAAAAAAAAAAAAATTAGTTTAAGGAAATGGGAAAAAATAAATAGGCTTCAGGCGAAGGCAAAACTAAACTCGCAGTACCGACCTTTTCATGTATTTTATTATCAAATCCAACTTCTCCAGATCTTTGTCTTCAATCAGGTCAGTGCAGTATTTCACCACCTGCAGGATGTCTTCCTCCATGGGGTCTAATCAAAGATGAGATATTTACAAAAAAACTATTTTATTACCACAAGGGCTGGATGATATGGCTAAATTTTTATCATGAAATAACTCCTAATTTAAGTCAATACAATAGAATTTTGATATCAATATGAATAATAAAAAACAAGGAAAAATGCCAAGAACACCAATCCTTACTGTACCTATAAACCCAGTGTCATTTACGATACTTTTAACTGGAAATATGACTAGTCAGAACAACAATCGAGATATCTCAAATTTACTTTATGACTAGTCAGAATTTAACTGTTGATATCTGAAATATGAGCCTGTGGTGTACGTCATCACGCACTGATGTAACATATATCGTTTTAAATTTCTTTAAGTCAGGGTTCGACAAGATTTTATTTTTGACAACAAATGTTACCTGCCCGACATCAAAAGTTACCTGACTGAAACAAAAATGTTCAAATTTTGATAAAATAAGAAAAACATGTACTGTACTTTGTACTACAATATTAACATGGTTATACAGAGGTATATAATACATGACATCACATCTGATTAAACAGATGCAAACATTTTAGACTGAGT